CATTCACCCACCATTAACAAGTGTACATGCAGTTTACAATGAAATAAGTAAAACATTGGAAGCATTGAGAAATACATGTTTATCTATACTCCTCACTACAATATACTGACATTGTATAACCAAGCATAGATTGGATGCCCAATCGATTTGAACCAACAGTTGCCTATCATGCACATTGCTTCTAAGGCAGAACAACTCTTCGACCCGTCCATTGGAAACATTAGTAATATGGAAGAGAATAATGCAAGTAAGAATAGACATAACATGTTGGACATGTAGAGACACTCAGAATCCGGAAATTCTCCTCTCCATGTCAACTGAATAAACGAGTAGATCATCTGAAATGATAAATGGAATAGAAGGAATGTGATGTTTCAAACATTCTGATGTGTTTATAATCATTACCGGAAAGCAGACATTCTCATTCACTGACAACATCAAGATGTCACAATTGAAGTAAACGAGTGTTGGGAAGGGTGTGGGAAGAGTTTTCATACATCTACCACTTCTCTCACTTGTGGAGTAGCATCACAACGAACTGGCTAGTTACTGACGAAATCTCAGCTCACATGTAGAAGGCTCTTTTCGTGTCTCTCAGATTGCTTCATCTGAGGAGCCGACTACCGAGATATCCGACTACCCGTTAGAGAATGCCTAAGTATATTAGACGTCAGTTTATTCTCACCTGTTATACGGATGTGAGACATGGCCGTATAAAATAGAAGATATGAAGCGTTATAGGAGCTTGACCATAAGTGTCTTCGTAGCATATTTCGTGTGTGTTGGAATCAGGGTGTGTGTGTGTGTGTGTGTGTGTGTGTGATGTTGAAGTGTGTGAAGGGTACTAGGCAAGATAGACAAGTCGACCGATGAGTTTGTGAACTGTAGTCGACTGAGATGTCTTGTGCATGTAGTGTACATGCCGAGTGATCATCTACCTCGATGTGCCGCACTAGGGAATGAGGATTATCTTGGAAGAGGTTTGAGGGTGGGGAGACCAAGATGTGGGAACAGTCGATGGAGTGTGTGACTGTTTGTCTGAGCCGTGTGGGAGATAAACATTACCTGGTCACACACCGTGAGACGACAGGAATCAATGGTTGTGAACTCTTGCTGACATGCCTTAAGATAGTTTACAATAGTGCACACGTATTCACTCTTTGATTTCTTCCAAAGCGTGAATGTTTTGAGTCAGTGAACTTCACGCCATTGCCTCCCTTAATCATTTTTGTGAGGGAACAACCATGTCTGTGTAGACTAGTCTAAGTGAGTGAATGGTTTCTTCGAAATTTATCAGTACCAATGAGCGATACTCGAGAATCATTTTGCAAAAAAAGAAATGTTCATATCATTCCAGTGCCAAGAATATACTCTAAACATAAGAATTCGAGAATGTCTGTTCACTGACCATCATCACCATCTCAGTGTGGAACACAGTTCCACGAACTCGTGACTCACTTGATTATCTCATGGAGGTGAAATTACTGAGATCACGGAATGCAGACGTCATCAATGCTTTGAGTATTGATGCCACAGCCACCATCATCACACAAAAATATTCTGACCATTTATATTCATAAGGAAAACAGTTCACCAAGACTACACGGCCATCTAATCATGCTACAGCAAAACGTGGGTGACCGAACATGAAATCTGGCAACATGTCAGAGACAATGTGAGAGGGTGATTCGACACGAATTACGAAATGCAGATCATTGAACAGAAGTACTCAGTGGAGGGTTGTAATCTTATCTGTGCATCAATGCAGACTATACAAACAGACCTTCGACTTGATTAGCACAACACGGACGAAAGCGTATTATGAGTAAGACAAGGTTGACTACTGTTTTGAAAGCGTAAACAGCATAAGGAGTCGTCATATTCCAATCTTCTCACACCTACTTAGCCTGCTACAAGCCTAACCTATCTCCGTCTATATCTCGCCACATACTTCCACGACAACAACTAAACATCCAGCAACAATCTCATCAGCCCCCACCCCCCCACTCATTCATATACTCATTCTGCTGTTGATCAACAGACACAATTTCCACCACCATTTGATCGACTACAGATGCAGGAGTTCAACAGAGCATTTCAGGTGTGGTCGTGGTAATTTCCTTACAATTTACATCACCATGTTGAAGCTGATTATACCACAAGGAGAATCACATATATAGTGTGTGCTACAACTCAAGATACATGTGTATGTTCATGCATTCTCTAATGGAAAGGCGGTTATTGATATGTTCGAAACCGAGAGCTTGATTCTGTTGATGAAATCGCCATATTCCATGTGTATGATGGTTAGTTAACTGCATTGGAATCGTGAATCGAAGTTGAGTAAAATTTAATGAAGTGACACCGACACGTTCATCAGTATATGGAAGCTGTTGATTCACGAAATGAATTTTCCCTCCTCACATTTTATGACCATCAATTCAATTCGATGAGTTGACTGACATTACACAGATATTCGGCGTCATTATATCATCAGTCGGCATCCTGATATCTGTGTTCAGTTCATGATGCTCATCAGTGATCTCCCCTCTCACAATACCTCATCCACTAGACTACAAACTACCTTACAGTCTATCATTACACTGAACTCTAATACACAACAACATAATGTGATATGAAGCGATTGTTTCATGCAATAGAAAAACTCACGTAACATGATATTACGAGTAAACAGGAAGCCAATAATCGAAGAAACACCTAGTAAAGATGAAATATGCAAAGTACACAGGAGAAATGACAATCGAAAATAATTATGATATTTATGCTAGTGAAACATGTCCTTCCATTCAACCAAATATATCACAATCAAACCAGTGATTGATTGATTGGCTGAGTAAGTAAGCAAATAAGTGTGTTAGTGAGTGAGTGAATGGATGGATATATGAGTAGGTGACTGAGTGGGTGAGTGTATGAGATGCAGAGTGTGTGAATGAGTAATATCGAATCACCTTCAAGGCTACTTTCAATATCTCGTTGATAACCTCCTTAGGAAAGAAGAGACAAAAGCATATCATATTCATAAACTAGATGTATTTTGTATCTAATTATCCTCAGAATACATGCATTCCCTTGATCTACGTTTGGAACTTACCTCTAGTTGAATTTCTAGCGCAGCAAGAATATCAGAAACTATGATGATGAGGAGTAACACACCACCAGTAATGAATTGACATCAAATCGTAATAAACATGGATTGTCACTTATAGTGTTTACCTTGCATTTTTACCCTCTCCTAGGTGTCTGTTCGATTATTCACTACCTGCATACTCATGGAATCATCCTGTGTCAGTTTCGCTGCTGAATGAAACAATCGCTTCATATCACATTATGTTGTTGTGTATTAGAGTTCAGTGTAATGATAGACTGTAAGGTAGTTTGTAGTCTAGTGGATGAAGTATTGTGAGATGGAAGTTCACTGAAGACCATCAAGAAATTCAACGGAAATGTCACGATGCCAGTTGTCCACTCGTTACCTTGACTTGAAACAACAGTGGTGATTTCTTTCTATCTTCAAGAAGATTTTTACATTCTACTCCTGAACATTAAGTAATTGCGTTACCGAACACAATTGAAGCATTGAAAACCTGGTGACACTGCACACCTGTTTTGTTCCACCTAAGCAGAAATCTCGTCTTCGATAGGGAGATGAGTCCTTCGCATAAATATAATCTTCATAAAACTCGAACTACATTTGTGTATACTGCTCATTATTGACATGTTTCGAGATGGTCACCTTGATGTTGTAATGGGGAGTTGTGACCTGTGTGGTCATGTAGTGGGGAGTGAAGCACATGTCAACTGAAATCCTCGGTGGCCAGTCGTGTTGTATCACGCACCAGTTGACAGTTGTAGGAGAGTGTGGACCATTGAATGCCGATCGAGTGGATGGTTGGTTACCGTACTCTGAGTGAGTTCGATGCGTGATGAGTTAGTTGGTGCATACTACTGAGAAGTCCGATAGCAAGTGGAAAGGAATTTCGTCTGCTTCCAGTGTTTCACTCCTTCTCCAACTGATGTCAGTCCGTGATAAGTGTTCACATGAAAATAAACTTGCCATTAACGTGAAACTGTTGTCGGACATTGTCTGATGCTAATGTGTAGTGCACAATCATTTTGCATCAGTGGAATCAAATGAGGAAGGAAAACGTGCAAGTAATATCAATGTAATCAACATCATGATCGTCATCATCATCATCATCATCAGCAGCAGCAGCAGCAGCAGCAGCAACAGCAGGACCAGCTTGACAGCTGGCGAAGTAGAAGAAGATACCAACCTCGTCTGGATATTCAACATTACCATAACTCGAAAATAGTTAAAGACAGTCAGAAAACAAAACCAATTCTCAACAAATAAATTCACGAAAACAACTCATATATATTCGTTCAGCTTCATGAAATTCTGAGAACAAACAGGTTGATTAATTCAATGTTTACTCACAAATACCTCAGTCAATCACATGTAACATTTCACCTGAGATAAACAAACATCCACTTGCTTCGATCATTCACCTTTACACCTTCCACTATATCACCATCGTGATGACTGAACAAAATGAAACTGTGTGTAGATGTTTACTTGAACAACAATTCAATTCGATGAATTTTTCATCATAAACAGTCAGCCTACAATTATCAATAGACATTTTGATGAACGATTGAAATTTGATCAGATTTCTCATTCAAGTTTGATTTGTTCACTGATAAGCCAACCACACAAAGTCACTGTTGTCGTCAACTTGCCACCTGATGTAAGTTACAAAGGTGAATGTGTGAATTGGCTTGCCTATCTTTCATGTTGATGCTTGTCACCTTTGAGTTAAGAAGTGTTTACGTAAACAGGTTTACTTATCAACAAAATAAATGAACCTTCATCACCGAAGTATTTGTGCTGACAATTCTATTTCGGTTATATAAAGACATTCCATCTATGTGTTGATATTTTGTACACCTTCTACATCTTGATAATATTCGTTGCAGTAATGGGTCGTTCAGTTGTGCTTATGAGAAGTGATGTGGTTTTAGGAGGACGGAGAGATGGATTGAATGTCAGATGGAAGGTAAATAGATTTTCAGTGTGCAACAGTTTTCAACTTTACTCACACAAAGGTGCTTCTAATAACGGCAGTTCTGCTCATTCTACCAGTCACTTGTATTCTGCTGTCATCATACGGGTGAGTTTATGAGATATGAGGAAAATATTTTGGGTTACAGAAAAAGCATTGCGTCTGGGCTGCTCACGAATGTGTGGTTTGTTGTTGCCGTCATGTAATGCATCAATATCGCGATTAACAGACTCTATTTAATTTAGAATTACAACAGCGTGCTTAATGGTGACGTATGTTATTCTGGAAATTTATTACATATCTTTCCCCTTGCAAATTCTATTCGCAGTCCTATTGGTAAGACATTTTGTGTACCCCAATAACTGTAAATATTCATATGCTTGATGAGGTGTGAACAGAGAACTGAATGAATGTGTGTAATCTATTGAGTAGAGAATGGAGGTTGGTTAGTTGATGTGACTTCGAAGCTCGTTGGAGACATTGTGTTGCGTAGTTCTACCAATCACTGGCTTGTGAGGTGATCGAAAACTGAACGCCGTTGTGAAGATATATCCATGTTTCCCATTTCAGTAGTTATCTCACTCAACTTTCTTTTATTCACTTCCTCTATGTGCGCTTTCTCCAAAACATCAAATTTACATTGGAGAAGGAGTCGAACAACCAACTGCTATCCAGCCACGATTTATTCAGTAGAACCAACACCATCCACTCCGACACTCTGCTTTACACATGAAGTCAACCAACACACAATCCTCAAATTCTCAACTACAGTAGGAACAAATCAACAATGAAGAAAATCAGTTACGCACCGACTTTATTCGGCAGAACACAAATCACTGCAACGCAACAACTTCACGTTGAAATATGTGTGGTCAAGTAGAATGGTCATGGGTGAAAATTCATTAGAAGATACCTATCTCGTTCATCCATGGAAGTCAACACTCGCATAACCCTAACATAATTAAAGTACATATCAGAGATCACTCACAAACCAACAAATTTCTCCCAAACCACATTATACAGACCATATGATGTAACAACCAGGGAAGATGAACCAAACATGATTTACAAAGTCAACTGCCACAATTGTGATCAACACCACATTGGACAAACTGCTAACATTCTTCAGCTTCGTTCACATGAACATTAGTTGACTGTGAAACGACATCATATTTCAACGCTTATATCAATGTATGGAGACAACTCTGCACATGAATTCTACTTTGAAAATGTAAAGATAGTGTACATAAGGAAGATCATTGGAATCAGAGAATTCCTAGAAGCTTGGAATTCTGGTCAGTCAATAATCAGTAGATGTATTAACATAACCTCAATCTATCAAACAATGAGACAAATGATGAAGAAGTGAGAGCTTGGAGGTCTAAGTGAGAAACAGTCAGTGGAGTAATTTATGCAGTCAGTGACACAATGGTCAAGTGAAATAAACAGTCTCAAACTAGTTGGTCAATATAAACGATTGAATCACATACGGAGACATACTGACAACTCACATTATATTCGAGTTAGTGATGATGATGTTGTGTAGGAGGACGAAGAAGGCTTCACCATTGAAGTGGCCAGTTCAAACGACACAGCACAGCACAACACAACGAAAACCATCCACCTCAACCACAAATATTCTCCATCATTTCAGAACCATTTACTCCATGTTCACATTAGGAAATATAAACTGAACGATGCTGTTGTAGATTGAGTCCGTACAGGTTGTGAGACGATTATCACTATTTAGCTGATATCCCTCATGTGGAAAAGGTGTATGGCGTTTAACGAGTGTTTCAATCGTTTCTCTAAATTTTAGGACATCGCACTATCAATCACATTCGCTATAATATCATCATTTTTTGAGGGTAAATGGTGTTTGATTGCTCTGGGTATTACAGCTGTTATTGCTTTCTTAATTGGAGTTGCTGCGATCAAAATAACAACACGAAAATCACTCAAGAAGATTGTGCTTTACATTACTGGTGGAGTGTTACTCCTCATCATCATAGTTTCTGATATTCTTGCTGCGCTAGAAATTCAACTAGAGGTAAGTTCCAAACGTAGATCAAGGGAATGCATGTATTCTGAGGATAATTAGATACAAAATACATCTAGTTTATGAATATGATATGCTTTTGTCTCTTCTTTCCTAAGGAGGTTATCAACGAGATATTGAAAGTAGCCTTGAAGGTGATTCGATATTACTCATTCACACACTCTGCATCTCATACACTCACCCACTCAGTCACCTACTCATATATCCATCCATTCACTCACTCACTAACACACTTATTTGCTTACTTACTCAGCCAATCAATCAATCACTGGTTTGATTGTGATATATTTGGTTGAATGGAAGGACATGTTTCACTAGCATAAATATTCATAATTATTTTCCATTGTCATTTCTCCTGTGTACTTTGCATATTTCCTCTTTCCTAGGTGTTTCTTCGATTATTGGCTTCCTGTTTACTCGTAATATCATGTTACGTGAGTTTTTCTATTGCATGAAACAATCGCTTCATATCACATTATGTTGTTGTGTATTAGAGTTCAGTGTAATGATAGACTGTAAGGTAGTTTGTAGTCTAGTGGATGAAGTATTGTGAGAGGGGAGATCACTGATGAGCATCATGAACTGAACACAGATATCAGGATGCCGACTGATGATATAATGACACCGAATATCTGTGTAATGTCAGTCAACTCATCGAATTGAATTGATGGTCATAAAATGTGAGGAGGGAAAATTCATTTCGTGAATCAACAGCTTCCATATACTGATGAACGTGTCGGTGTCACTTCATTAAATTTCTACTCAACTTCGATTCACGATTCCAATGCAGTTAACTAACCATCATACACATGGAATATGGCGATTTCATCAACAGAATCAAGCTCTCGGTTTTGAACATATCAATAACCGCCTTTCCCATTAGAGAATGCATGAACATACACATGTATCTTGAGTTGTAGCACACACTATATATGTGATTCTCCTTGTGGTATAATCAGCTTCAACATGGTGATGTAAATTGTAAGGAAATTACCACGACCACACCTGAAATGCTCTGTTGAACTCCTGCATCTGTAGTCGATTAAACGGTGGTGGAAATTGTGTCTGTTGATCAACAGCAGAATGAGTATATGAATGAGTGGGGGGGTGGGGGCTGATGAGATTGTTGCTGGATGTTTAGTTGTTGTCCGTGGAAGTATGTGGCGAGATATAGACGGAGATAGGTTAGGCTTGTAGCAGGCTAAGTAGGTGTGAGAAGATTGGAATATGACGACTCCTTATGCTGTTTACGCTTTCAAAACAGTAGTCAACCTTGTCTTACTCATAATACGCTTTCGTCCGTCTTGTGCTAATCAAGTCGAAGGTCTGTTTGTATAGTCTGCATTGATGCACAGATAAGATTACAACCCTCCACTGAGTACTTCTGTTCAATGATCTGCATTTCGTAATTCGTGTCGAATCACCCTCTCACATTGTCTCTGACATGTTGCCAGATTTCATGTTCGGTCACCCACGTTTTGCTGTAGCATGATTAGATGGCCGTGTAGTCTTGGTGAACTGTTTTCCTTATGAATATAAATGGTCAGAATATTTTTGTGTGATGATGGTGACTGTGGCATCAATACTCAAAGCATTGATGACGTCTGCATTCCGTGATCTCAGTAATTTCACCTCCATGAGATAATCAAGTGAGTCACGAGTTCGTGGAACTGTGTTCCACACTGAGATGGTGATGATGGTCAGTGAACAGACATTCTCGAATTCTTATGTTTAGAGTATATTCTTGGCACTGGAATGATATGAACATTTCTTTTTTTGCAAAATGATTCTCGAGTATCGCTCATTGGTACTGATAAATTTCGAAGAAACCATTCACTCACTTAGACTAGTCTACACAGACATGGTTGTTCCCTCACAAAAATGATTAAGGGAGGCAATGGCGTGAAGTTCACTGACTCAAAACATTCACGCTTTGGAAGAAATCAAAGAGTGAATACGTGTGCACCATTGTAAACTATCTTAAGGCATGTCAGCAAGAGTTCACAACCATTGATTCCTGTCGTCTCACGGTGTGTGACCAGGTAATGTTTATCTCCCACACGGCTCAGACAAACAGTCACACACTCCATCGACTGTTCCCACATCTTGGTCTCCCCACCCTCAAACCTCTTCCAAGATAATCCTCATTCCCTAGTGCGGCACATCGAGGTAGATGATCACTCGGCATGTACACTACATGCACAAGACATCTCAGTCGACTACAGTTCACAAACTCATCGGTCGACTTGTCTATCTTGCCTAGTACCCTTCACACACTTCAACATACACACACACACACACACACACACACACCCTGATTCCAACACACACGAAATATGCTACGAAGACACTTATGGTCAAGCTCCTATAACGCTTCATATCTTCTATTTTATACGGCCATGTCTCACATCCGTATAACAGGTGAGAATAAACTGACGTCTAATATACTTAGGCATTCTCTAACGGGTAGTCGGATATCTCGGTAGTCGGCTCCTCAGATGAAGCAATCTGAGAGACACGAAAAGAGCCTTCTACATGTGAGCTGAGATTTCGTCAGTAACTAGCCAGTTCGTTGTGATGCTACTCCACAAGTGAGAGAAGTGGTAGATGTATGAAAACTCTTCCCACACCCTTCCCAACACTCGTTTACTTCAATTGTGACATCTTGATGTTGTCAGTGAATGAGAATGTCTGCTTTCCGGTAATGATTATAAACACATCAGAATGTTTGAAACATCACATTCCTTCTATTCCATTTATCATTTCAGATGATCTACTCGTTTATTCAGTTGACATGGAGAGGAGAATTTCCGGATTCTGAGTGTCTCTACATGTCCAACATGTTATGTCTATTCTTACTTGCATTATTCTCTTCCATATTACTAATGTTTCCAATGGACGGGTCGAAGAGTTGTTCTGCCTTAGAAGCAATGTGCATGATAGGCAACTGTTGGTTCAAATCGATTGGGCATCCAATCTATGCTTGGTTATACAATGTCAGTATATTGTAGTGAGGAGTATAGATAAACATGTATTTCTCAATGCTTCCAATGTTTTACTTATTTCATTGTAAACTGCATGTACACTTGTTAATGGTGGGTGAATGTGAAGAGTGTCTTACAAGTAGAATGGTGACACAATAAATTTCATTCAATTGCTCCTGTTGTCTTTCTTTCTAATGTGACGGACGATTTTCTCTGTACAATTGGGTTAACGACAAGACGAATAATTTTGTGTGTAGAATATTTTATGCTCATTTTATTTGTCACTGTGTGGGCTGCAACAGAATCAATGAATACACTTGAGTGCTGAAGTGTTCCTGTGTGTGTGTGTGTGTGTGTGTGTGTGTGTGTTGGTGTTGTAATTCACTCACGATATCGCTGCACAGAAACGGTATAGTGAGTGAAAGAATTTCGCATAGAAGGATGACAAGATGAAGAATATAGAGTGATGCTATGAATAGATTTCCGATACAAATACTCACACTGAATAATAAAGATATTGGATATCTATGTCAGGATGAAACAGCTGTCAAGTGCTCACAGCGTTTCAATGGTTCTCTCACTCATATGTCTCCATGATCAATATCCCCTTGAAATCAGTCGATACACACAAACCTCAAAACGAAATCATGTTTTGCATAGAAAGTCGTCTCTGTGTCTTCTTAACGGTTGCTTTCCGAAGTCAACAGGCTTTCAGTGTCTACAAATTATCGTCACACGACAAGTTGTGAAGAGAACAATGATGCATCATCCTCCTCCTCAACGAAGCATACGTCTGAATGAGGAGCATCTCTGGAAATGATGGAGAAACTCGTGTGACTGTTGTGAATTGTAACAGCATGCAACTTGCACAAACATCAGATATGAAGTGGATGTAAATGAGAGTTCTCACTTCACCCCCAATCATCATGAAGTCAGTTTGAACAACACCAATCTATCAATGCACATCCACCTCACACACTTTCATTGCAATCAGTAAACTGGTGTGTAAATGTGCAGAGTATTTCCAACTTCGATGGAAAACCACGTCACAATTCGATGATTCATGAGATGGAAATGTTAACTAGTTCACTGGTTACTAGTCGGTCGTAAGGCTGGTTAAAGAGGGAAGGTTGGGCAATGGTCAAGCAACCCTACTTCGCAAAACCAATCCAATCGCTGAAGAAACGTGTAAGCAAGCACAAAGAAAATATGAGAAATGAAAACAAAGTTATTCGTCACTGGAATCTGAGAGAGGAAATGATGCCAGTTGGTGAAAGCCTGCCTTCAGGAAGCTAATTGACCGATGTATCTTCTCTCCCCCGATGACAGTGAATGTAAGGATGGGACATGGAATGTCTACACCATGTATGAAACTAGTTGGCTTGGCTGTGCAGATTGCGAAAGAGATGAGGAGATATGGGATGGAAGTGTTTGGAATCTGTGAGGAATCTGCAGATGGAATGGAAATGGACTGTCGAAACTGTTAACTGGAGAGTAGTCAATAATCCACTCCGATATTGTCACCCAGACGACAACCACGAACACAGCACACTGAGTTGTGCAGTGGCTATCATGATGTCCTCGAGAGCATCGAAGACTCTGTCTCTCTCTGTCTCTCTCTCTCTCTCATGCAGTGGGAACCAATCTCCTCCACAATCAGCATCATGACAGCAAGCTTCAACTCAAAATGAAGGAAGGAAGGAAGATTTGGATTTCGCTGATGACTTGTGTCTTATGTCGAACAAAATTTGAATATCTACAGGCAAAACTAACTAGTTGACAGAAGAGGCAGGGCAGTACAGGGCATCGAAGATGGGACATCAGGTGAATGTGGAGAAGACAGAGGTGATGAAGATACCCAACCAACGCAACCATCAACAACAAGAGGCACCAATCACCATCAATGGGAGAAGCCTAAATGAAGTAGTCTCTTTCACCTATCTAGGCAGGCGAACACCATTTCAACTACAGGAGGCGGCAGGCACAGGCACAGACGAGGATGTCAAAGCCAACCAGGATCGGAGAAGCAAGACACGTCTTCATTAACCTGAGATCAGTGTTGAGATCTCCTGCACTCTACTCAGCATGAGGCGTGAACAACACCGATTTTCAACACCAATCTAGTGGCGTCAGTGCATCTATGTGATGTTTGAGAGACTTGGCGCGTTACGAGAGGGATTTCCAACAAACTACAGACATTCATTGACAACTGCCTACACTGGCTCGTTACTGAAACCTATATGGCCAGAATATAAAGAATAAGCAACAAGGAACTCTGGTTGTCCGGTTGGCTGGCAGCGAACCAACCAACCAAGAACATATCGCCCAACAAATATACGGAAGAAATTGGAGGTGGAGATGGATTGTGCATGCATGCACTGAGAAGGCCGACTGGGGACAACACGCGCCAGGCCAGACCGTTGAGTGGAACCCAGATGGGAAACGATGAGGTGGGCGTCCGAGGTGACGGCTACATGGAGGAGATCATGTGAGGAATAAATGAAAGCATGTAGGCAGTCATGAAGCCAGGTTCAGAAGAATGCAGAGAACAGAGTGCACTGGAGACGTGATACTCAAGCCCTATGTTCCACTAGGAACCAAAGGGAATAGAAATAATAATAATAATGAGAAGATAAGGTTTCACTGACTCCATTCCATACAGTGGAATCATAACCCTAACCACAGTTGAACACAAATTCCACATTTTATACTGATGCATATATATCAATGTGACACTTGAGAAGTTATTTACTATTGTTAATACCATGCCATGTCACTGCGAACATGCTCAGTTCATGTGAACACAGTCCTGAGTGATACAGCCAAATCCATTGTGTCATACTCAACCAACATCATCATCATCTACTTCCCTGCAAGCATCAGTTTAGTAAATTTCATTGTGAACTGGAAACTTGTTTGGAACATTCCACCATATTGCCAATATGTTTACGAACGTACAGGTAGGACGATAGATCGCTGACAAAATGATGGACTGTGTTGTGGTCTACGTTTGCTCCTCTCTGACATGGTCAGGATTTCGCCTCACAAAATACTGAGTAGTTAAGTGAATGCAAATCCAGGTGGTCAGTACATTAGATTTGCCTACACAGATTATACTTCTGCCTCCCACTCTAGCTCTATAACCCTTTTGAAAAACAAGCTTGTCAGAACTCACACTCACCCCTTATTGCAAACTGACTTGATTGTTGTTTACCGAGAGAAGACCCCACACTCTATACACAGGCAAACTCTTCACTTCGCTTTTCAGTGAGCATCTCTTCGAGAAAATATATACCATATAGTGGAGAATATTTGTAGCTCAGATGGTTGCTTGCTTGCTTGCTTTGTGTTCTCCTACCTCAGTTGGTTAATCGTTAAGCTTTCATTGTCCTTCTAGACAACGTCATCAGCACTAACTTCACTAGGAATTCCTACTCAAGTTTCTGATGGTGATATCGTCTAGAAAGATGATGATAGCTTCACGATTAAACAACCCAGCTTATAGATGGTGTGCTGTAATTTTCATGATCACTGACAAACTCGTGTATAGTCGCATAATATCAGCCAGTTGTCGACGTTGACAGAAATGTGAGTAAACTCTGATGGTAAGGAGGTTAAGCTTAGATTTTAGACCATGGTATTCGCAAATGATCTCCAAATTCTTCACCTGTTCCACAATCTACTGATTGATTCACGTCAGTCAGTGAGACAGAGTCAGTTGATAAGGCTAACTAACTTCTCTATAGATAATTCCATCCAGATGAATTACTGTTCACGTAATTAGTGTACAATTGAAATCATTGTTTGCTGTATCGGTCACTCTGATCTCGCTGATAAACTGATGTCAGTATTTTTGATCTACTAACGTCCTTCATCACTAGTATATTTTATTCATTTTACAAAGTTCATTGAGACATTATTTTCTCATTCTTCCAGAATATTCAGTGATTTTGTAGACATTTTCATCTGATGAATAATGGAATTGTGAAGTGGTATTCCATCGAAGATGGAAATAGTTTGTAAATAGATGTGTGTGTGAGTTGGGTGTAGTTAGATAGTTAGTTGATAGACTGGTGTTGTTCAAATTGACTTCCTTATGATTGAGGATGAAGGAGGAAAAGCTGGGATGGCTGAACACGTCTCTCATCCTAGTATGGGACTTCACAGTAGTACACTACCATCGCAGCACCACAGACGCAAGTCATAACCTTCACACCTCACGGCAAATCCAGTTACCATCCATCCAGCCACTGACTTGCTTTACGCAGTACATACCTTTTCAACCAGCGTCAGTCATTTCGTGCTACAGCAATCCAATTCACTAAACTCGTCACCTACCATCTACTACACTTCCAACTGGTTGACCACATAGATCACAGCCTCTCCCCACAACTTCATGATATCCATCTGTAAAGGAGTCACTCCTGTGCACTAGACAGCAATTTATTTTGAGGTTCTCCACGATTTTCTTTATTTCAAGTTAGTATTCATGATCAAGTGACATTTCATATGGTTGACTGACTGACATACTTGTTGACTGACTGACTTGTGGGTCTGTATTCTACGGGATGTGTATTGATCTCAAATTGCAGATGGCTTCCCCATATGATTTATTCACTGCCTAAAGCCTTGGTGGCATACAACTCAAGTCAGTTCATCACATTATCGCTTCTCTTTCATATTCACTTCTCCTGACATTAAGGTTGTCTGTTAATGGCGTTCAGTGTTCTCTTTCGTGAGTGGGTGAGTGAGTGAGTGAATGATATTCTGTCTAACTGAAATCCTCCTAAAATTATTCAAATACATTTATGAAATCCTTCGTGGAAGCCTCTTGTTGACAGAACAGAAACTGTACAAGTGTTTGTATGTTCATACAGTAGGTGGAGACAAATCATTCCACCTTGTTCACATAAAAAGATTGATTATAATATGGGGATAGGTGTTGTCATTATCAACTATCAGTTCGTGAGTTCAAAGTGAAGACGTCAATGAGTACATGTGCACAAATGACTGAGTGTGAATGTGTG